TAACTTCATGCCCTACTCCCATGGACTGCCACTCTGGCTCCCTGAGCAAGACCTTTAACCTGCATACTGCACAATGGCTGCCCACTGCTGTGCTCCCCAAAAAAGGGATGGGTGAAATGGAGAGAATGGATTGATTTGCTTTGTCATTGTAGAATAGAATTTAGTTTTATTTTATTGTCATTACACTGTGTAATGACAATAAAGTTAAATTCTATTCTATGTACAAAACAACTCAATTAAGAACACAGTAAAACTCAACAAACATATAAGAATGTACTTTTAACAGTAGACACCAGATCCTAAAGCACCAATGATTGTGAGAATAGAACGAAATGTGAATACTTGCTTAACGTTATGAAACATTGTCCTGTTCATCATCTACAATCAACAACACTCTATAAAATCAATCAAACTCACCATAGATTGTTGCTTTTCCATATTAAGAACTGAAGAACTGCTACATCATAGTTTTGGTCTAGTAAAATCAGCAACATGGCACTGATGACATCAAAAATTATATAAGAAAATCAATTTGTTTGTTATTGGTATTTTCTGCAACACCCGCTGAGGTGCATCTTTTGATTTTAAATTCTTCTTTGAGGACATTACTTTGATTAATTAACAAATGAAGTAAATTATAAAAGGTGCCGTTTTAAAGCATTTTGTTCATAGAGAAAACATCGACCCAAAGCAAGATTCAAAAATAGAAATAAAATAGTTCAAATTACAACTCAAATTAAGTATAAATTACTTTCATATTTATTTTCTTTTATGTATGAAGAAAATTTACATTTCTTCTGAAGGCTTCTGTATAACAAAACAATATTGCCTTATTTTCAGGAAGAAGGAAACATGGAAAAAACTCTCTGTTGTGTTGCCCCAGTGGCCTAATGGATAAGGCACTGGCCTCCTAAGCCAGGGATTATGGGTTCGAGTCCCATCTGGGGTGGTCTCTTTTATATAGGGTAGTGGTTAGGGAATTCTGACTTCAAGCACTACTCCCATGGATGGACACTCTTTGGCTCNATGAGCGTGTTTAAAGAAAAGAAAATTACCATTTAAACTTCAGCCCATTTTATCTGCTCAGCCAGTAGTTACTGTGGTCAATACAAAGGCATTCCAGAGTCTTGAAAATGTGCACGTGTGCTCAAATGCCATTTAGGATGAAATACTATTTGAATACTGCAAAAAAAAAAAAAATAAATAAATCAAAGTAAATTTTCTTAAAATATGTCAATTTTTTTCTTTAACTGAGCTTAAGTGAGACGCTTTGCCAATGTTGATCATGGCTTCGAATCATTTAGTGCAGGTTCAGCAGAATCTGAAACAGCTTCTTCCCCACCACCATCAGACACCTGAACTGTTGAAAAAACTAAATCAGACTCTGCATCAACCTAACAACACCAAACCAAAACACTGCATAATTGCACCATATATATTTTAATGCTCTTAACTTCCATATCACTGCGCTTATTGGCACCATGTTTTTTTTCTCCCACACTGTTTACATTTGATCACTGCTGCACTCTAAGAAATGGAAATGTTATAAGGGCTGAACAAAACGAAATTTCGTTTTTTTTATACAATATGAAAAAAACTTGCATTGTCTCATTTCAAGTGCATAATATGTAATTATCTTATTTTAAGGGCAAAAAGACAAATTTCATTTGCTAATCATCTTATTTACCTGCTTAGATTAAAGAAAAACACATTTTAAGAATTTCTTTTTTTTTTTTTTTTTTTTTTTTTTTTTTTTGTAGTGAATTTAAATATATGGATGGAGCAAAACTTTCTTCAACTCAATAGCTCCAAAACTGAAGCCATCGTGGTTGGAACTCATCACTTGTTCTGGTACTAATATCCCGCTCTCATCAACAGTTAGTAATCTTGGTGTAAGAATGGACTCACAACTCACTTTTGAAGCTCACATAAATCATTTATGAAGGACCTCTTTCTTCCACCTCCGAAACATTTCCAAACTCCGTCCCATTCTCTCCCTCCCACACGCCGAAAAGCTGGTTCATGCCTTTGTCTCCTCCAGACTGGACTATTGCAAATCTCATTCTCATTGGGATCCCTAAAAAGAGTCTGCAGAGGCTTCAGTACATTCAAAACTCTGCAGCTAGGATCCTGATGAGAGTACGTAAACATGA